TTTCTTTCTTTTTTTCTTTCTTTCTTTTCTTTCTTTCTTTCTTTCTTTTTTTCTTTCTTTCTTTCTTTCTTTCTTTCTTTCTTTCTTTTTTTGTTTCTTTCTTTTTTTCTTTCTTTCTTTCTTTCTTTCTTTCTGTCTTTCCTTCTTCTTTCCTCCTCTTATATGCCGGTTAAATTTTTTTTGATCTTTTGATGTTTTTTTGATCCGTTTTTTTTGATACCTATCCCCTGCACTGCAGCGTACAAAATCATACACAAACAAATCTGAGATGAAGCCGATGTTACCCCTAATTTTTGCGGTATACGGTATATCTTTCCAAGCCCATCTTTTTTGGCTCACACATAGACCACACTGGAAACTTTAAGAATCACCATTTGAACTAATTATTTGCAATAAAAAACTGCAAACGTGTCGATCAAGGAGTTTATACAACCTTGGAACTCAGCAAATTGCTGTAACCCCCGCAATCCAGCCTCAGTTCCAAGCCTAGGTCGCCGGAGACATTTCCTGGTTGATTGGTTGATTGATAGGGGATGATTTTATCCCGCATGCGTAGCGAAGGGTTCCTGTTCTACCATAAACTGACAACTACAGCAGCCACACGTGCTTTTGAGCACTGCATATATCGCCAACTAAGACTTCGGAGCAGGATTGGTTCACCCAAGTTTTGGTCGTACATGTTCCCAGCCAGGGCCGTTCCCACAACTTCGAAACAACAGCCACTATGTAGGAACAGCAGTTTGACCGTGGGGTTGGCTATTGGTTGTTTTTCTCCAGTTGCGAAGCAAATTCGCATCGACCAATAATATGACAGCAAAAGGCATGGCAAAAAAAAACATTACCGAACCTTTTTTTGAGGCCATCAGAATTCAGCCCGATCATCCGTGGATAAATACAAGCCCCTACATCATCGCCACCAGTGGCGATGGGTCCATCCAGGTTGAAGCAGAATGAACCACCACAGTAGCACCCACAGCTTAAGTTTAAAGAGTTGCAAACACAATGACACCTGGTAACAGCTATAATTCATCGATTATCAATGCTTTCATTAAATTACTGTTTTGGATTGTGGGACTTACTCGTTAATTATCAGACCATCTACCAGTACTAGAAGATTAAATGGGAGCAGGCGCTTCCTCTGTTCCAGGTGAAGTTTGCTTGGCAACAATGCTTCGCTATAGTCATCCCGCCCGTCACGGGCAAGCACCGTCCCTGAGAAGATGACCGGGCAATTGAGGGAACACATTGTCACATTGCAATCAAGTAAGGCCGTTTTCACTGATGCTGAGCGGCTCAAGAACACACTGCAAGCCGATAGCGATAGGGAACCGAAAGGCTCAGGATTCATGCTTCACCTGCACACGTTCTGTCGTCGCACCAGCAAACTTCAATTGATGGCTTGTGAAATATGAAGTGCTGGAGAACATTGTTGCAGAACCTGTGGCGGTGTGCGCGCCGCAGGCCCTGATTTCGCCATCAGCGTTTTGAATTCCTATCTGAGCCCCCCTAAGAACACCTGAAGCCGTTGCCAGAGTTGCCGTCTTTCGCATGGGAATATTTTTCCAAATGTCTGCAGCCCAATGACTTCTGGGGCCCCTGCCTATCTCACTCAAGTCCAGCACATGGGAGCAGGTGCATCTTGAGTGAAAGGTTAAGATCTCCAGCGTCAAGGCGCAGCCGGTGAATTTCGGAATTTCGCTTTGCGTCTTAAGGTGATAGCCGTGCGGTGTCTGGATTTGCCACTGCTGAGCTGACTTCAAGAGAAAGTTTGGAAACTTTCATCGCGCTCACACATCATGAGTCTAGCAGAGGTAGTTGTAAATCATTTGGCCATTGTGGAATTGGATTTCGGCTTCACCAACAAAGGCATTGGGGAACTGCAAGCGTAAGCTGCCGGGATGCAATGGAAGGGAAGAAGGCGGAGAATGCCGATGAGGTTGGACTGGAGACGGCACAAAAGATGAAGACCCAGCCAAGAACAGCACCCCCCCAAAGCCGACTGGAAAGGGCATGGCGGAGGACTTACATACAACATTATATGCTGCAACGCGACGGAACGCGAATATAGCAGTTGGCCACTGTGGCACGCAGCCATTCTTCCCGGCTGTAGCCGTCAGCAGCACATGGCTTGAATTTTGATCTGCGACGTGGGTGCGAAAACAATAGCATTAATTGCTCGCACCAAGAGCTGATTTCCTTTGGGCTCAAGAAACACATGCATGCTCCATCACAGAGGACGCAAATCTTTTTCGGTGCTGCCGGCAAAATTGTGTCCAACTATGTGGCACTCTAAAATCTAAAGCCTTGGTTCGCTCAAAATTGTACTGCCTATCGTTTCTATATCTTCTGCTCTACGCGTTCTTTTGACAAGCCAAAAGGTAGAAACACTTTCTCTTCAAGCGGCTATGCCACCAAGTCCCGTATCGTCTCAACTGTATTGGTCCTTTTGATGAATTTGAATCATCCCAAGCACAGTGTCACAGCGACACCCTGCTTGGTGGGATTCGGAATCCACAATCAGAAGAAACATTGTTGCCTCAGCTGCTTCTCTTGTATATGTGGCCAGTCCAAGCCATCTAAGCTTTCCAAGTGGGATTCGGCATTTTGAATCATCCCAAGCACGGTGTCACAGCGACACCCTCCTTGGTGGGATTCCCAATCCAGAATGCCCGGAACAGCTCTGGAAGGTGCCCGGATTAAGGTCTCTGATTGCCTAGGTCTAGAGGCGCTGGCGATGCAGCTGTTCTGTGTTGCCATGTGTTTGCATCCAGGGTGGCCTTTGAAGCGTCCATTCAAGTTCCGGCATGCATGCTTGTTCTTTCAAGCTCTGCGTAGCAAGCACGAAAAACAACAACACGCAAGTCCACAATTTCAATAGTCTCCACAAAGCCGTTTCAACAAGATGGAAGCCATATTGAGGAACCCTTCGGATATTAAAGAATCTGCCAAAAAATATGCTTTCAGTTCTTTTCTCAATGAGCAGCCAACCCAAATGCATTAGATTGCAACAGTGAGAACATAAGCTCACACCATTCCATCTCCTGGGCCTTCAGCTTGTATAACTCCTTCCGTCACATGCGGTCTAGGGCGTGCGGCTTTTGCGCGCCTGGCGCCCCTTCGGGCGCCCAGCTTCTTTATGGGTTCAGTATACCGCCGGAAAATCATCCCAGTCTGTGTGTTCCTCCTGTTTGGGGTTGTATCCCAGCTTCTGTCAAACTGTTGCCTCCGTTGCTTAAAACCACCTATACCAAACGGTAGTAGGGCCTACATAAAGGCGCGCGCTTTTCGCGCGCCTATTGTAGGCGCGCGCTTTCTGCGCGCCTGAGGCGCGCGCTCTTTGCGCGCCTATTGTAGGCGCGCGCTCTTTGCGCGCCTGGGGCGCGCGCTCTTTGCGCGCCTGGGGCGCGCGCTTCTTGCGCGCCTGGGGCGGGCGCTTTTTGCGCGCTTGGTGCGGCGAGTGCTTTTTCCAAGCCAGGCCTAGCCGTTGGGTATTTTTGTTGTGTTTTGCACTACCCTGCTCCCGTTTGGTTCATGGCCAAAACCGCTCTGCACTGCAATATCGTTGTCCACGCCAATGTCCTCGGGTGTGCTTCATTCCAGCACCCTAAGAGCCATCTGCTCCCTCCCCCATTCATCCTTCTTTCTGTACCCATCTCTTCCATCGAAATCTTATGAAAACGGCCCTCGTCCATCAAATTATTCAGATATATATATATATTTTTACTATCTGTATGTGTAAGATGCGGCCAAGCAAAATCAAATATCTAGGACCACCTCTTCCACTCCGTTCCGCTCCCTCACATCCACATCCCTTCCAGACGATGGGCGGAAAAACGGACGTGCTGAAATGTAGTTAAGCGATTATGCCTTAGATATGTAGAATGCCCATTGACGCTGCACGTCGGGAATTGATAGATCCATCATAAACTTGCGGTCTGCGGCCGGATGCTGTTGGTCCCGTGGGGCCAAGAGCGGCAACAATAGCTCCAGAATGCTAGACCGAGGAAAGAGTAATGAGAACATCTGCCAACCATAATGGGATCGAAATCCGTGCGTAAATGGCTTTAATAATGGGAATACCATATTAATAAGATAGTCTTGCTGGCATCTACCAGGAATAACGGGATGACAAGCAGCCCGCTATGGTTGGCATATATGCCTAAGGCCTATCACGAAATTGTAGCCAACTTGCTGATATATCATATGAATAGTTCCTCGCATTGACGCGTTCCACTCATCATTCCAGGCAATCATTCATTCGAGGACCTCGAAATCCATGATGTCCGTTCTTGTTAGTAGGCGTTTCGCGTATATACCCAGTTGATATATACCCATACTTGATATCCCCGTTCATTAGCTCTACAATCCGTAATGGTGAAACAAAAACAAGGTTGATTTCCTACACAATGACAGCCCCAGTTTGGCTTTTGGGCACGCCCCTGCCAGCCGACTTTCAAGTGAACCAGTGGACCCCCAACTTCGATGACCCATCGACCAAACACTCCCCATGGTTTCAATGCAGCGCATTCAAACATCAATATCATCAATCGCACACAAATGATATGGATCTGATCAAAGTGAAGTTCGCTAAAATCTGTTGCTAGTGAAACATCAACCAAACTTAATGCCCTCAAAATAGTGTGGATTCTGAGTTATCATATATGATAGATAATTAATGATAATTATAAATTCTATATCCAAAATCTAGAAAAGAAACACAAACTTGGGGCTTTTAGATGGTTTTAGTAGAGACCTCCAAAATGGACCCAGCAACCCCTCTCCTGACATCCTAACTGAGTGCTGGACGGGGGCGGCTCCGTCTTGCCTTGGGGCTCCGATGTTTGGAGTAAACCATGGAAGTTCTGGGCGAACTCGTAACTTTGACACATCCCAAGAACAGTACCCGGCTGGAAAGCATAGATTCCCATGTGAAATCTGTGCCATACTGTATTCTGTGTGACTGTACGAGCCGCTACTCCAAAGGTGTCCATCTGACCAACTTACCGTAGTAAGCACTTCAAACGTTTGACCAATGCTCCAACCGCCACAACAAGACCACCCCGATCATCTTCCCAGGCGTCGCCTACATGGGAGTCCGGCAACTGGACCTTCAAGTCGCTCAGCATCTGCATGCGAACCTATCGGGATGGGTCACCAGGGTCCAATCCCTCGGAAATCATATCAGGATGGATCCAACATGATCCAACAATATCCAAATCCACTTTGGGTGGCTTCATTTCAATTTCAAGTGGCTCCACTGCCCAAGAAAGCGATGATATTGCACCATATTGCACCATCGGGTTTACCAATCCAGTTGCTGGAACTTAGAATCACAATACAGCAGAGGGAGCAAAGGTCTTTGTTTTTATTCACAAAGCAACAATGGTGGTTAAATAAAACAGAAGGTTGTCAGTAAGAAAACATGGGTAGAAGCCAATCATCTGGATAACTTATAATAATTTTACCTTATATACTTTGTATAAATTAAAAAGTCAGGAGATATATATATATATATTAGGGAACCAAAATCAAATTGATGTTTTCCAATGTTTGTCAATCTTCACCCTCATTTCTGGGGGTTCCCAAGAATCTAGGGACTTTCCAATGTTGAATTGCAATCCATTCCTTGCAGAAATGTGGTGGAATCATGTGGAATCTGTTCCATTCGGATCGCCACACATTTCCGGGATGGCATTGAAGTTCATTAAAGAAAACGGGCCCAACATTTTCAGATACTTACTATTTATGAGACAAAATCAGAAAACATATTCCCCACTAAACCCACTTATAGCCGGTAAAATTCATAGGGATGGACTTTCACTTGGAACAGTTCTTGGCAACCATATTATAGTTATGTTTCGTTTGCAGCTAGAGATGTTCCAAGTGAGTCAGTCCGAACACCATTTTCAGACACACCTAATTAGCCTTCGAGATATCCCCAGTATACTAAACAAAATGCAATCCCACATAATATATATAATATAATATATATATAATATATAATATATATATAATATATAATATATATATAATATATATATATAATATATAATATATATATATATAGTTAGCATGGGTTGGCTATAATTCCCACAACATCCCACAACCGCCTCATCGTCCTGCAACTGCGCTTTGAAGCTCTCCAGTTGCTCCAGTTCCTGAGCCTGCGTTGTTCTGCACAAATCACGGCCTGAAGTCACAGATAAACATGGAACCGTAGTAGAAAGAAAAGGATCTACAGGATGACTCTATATGTTATATTATGTTATCATATTATCATATTACGTGATTTTGTCCATTTATATCAGGAACCTTGTTGGCAGGTTGTTTCAGTGCAGCGTTTTCCAGGACCTGAAACTTCTGAGAACATTCCCAAGCATGGCGGTGTTTTACTGCTGAACATCATTTATCAGTATTCTGCTGCTCGATCAATTTCAGGGGATCAGGGGTTTATGAAGTAATCCCTTACCCAAAAACATGGTTTTGTATTAGATCTATTCATTTTGGGGCGCATATGGGAGTGTAATTTTAACGGGATGGGACTACAAGCGCGGCCTTTAAAAAAACTGGCCTTTCTGCTGAAGCCTCGCCTTGTCCAGTAGAGCCTCCAACAAGGGACGGAGGCCAGTCTCCTGTCATTCGCGAGGCTATCTCCAGCAGATTGGTGGAACTGACCATTCAATGAGGATTCTCATGAGAAATCATCCAACTGATCATATTTGGATATATTTGGGCGATACTCTCCAATCGGGCATACATATTCAATGGAATATCAGCATTTCATATTTGACATCTGCAATGGACATCAATGGAATAGCACCAAAAGAGGGCACCTAACTTGACCAATTGCATGACATTTGCGTTCGTTGATGGCTGGCAGGGTCCTTGCCAGTCAGGCCGATGTCAGCATGCCGCACAGCAGGGGATCCACTAGCCTTGCTGAGCAGCAACTGGTATAAGTAGGACTCCATGCGAGGCGGAGTAGGCAATGACATGAATGAGTACCACTGAAAAAAGGGGCTACCAACCGTCATGTTGTGTCTCAACATGTATGTGTCAATAATTTCGAACCATACTCATATGAGTCATTTTCCAGGAGACTCTTACTTTTCAGCGAAAAAGCACACGAAACAACCTCCACCAAGCAACCCTGTAAAGCTGGTTCACCATTCCCAAGATCCCCTCAAGAAACAAGCACTATACGTCACTATACCAGTACTATACCTCTATCAGCTGGAGCTTGGACATCCCCCACCCCATTCCCGCGCCTGGGCCTCCCTTTGGGCCACCTGCATCTGTTGGAAGCTCTCCAACAACGCTGTGATGCTCTCCCCGATGACCGCATTTTCCGGTGCTGCTGTGAGCTGCTCCTTGCCCTTGGCCAAGGCCTGCCAGGGTTCGAAACATGGTTACATCAGGATTTTAATACAAGTCATAGAAGTCAACAAGGCTATATATGTTTCTCAACATAGATACATTAAGTATAATACTTTATAGCGATTAATTAAAAACATAAAGGTCTGGCAAGTCCGAGAGTTCAAGGATGTTGCCGAACAGAAGTATCTTATAAATGTTCATAGATGTTCATAGTATTTTGAAACCCAGCAGACCTAGCGCAACTTGGAGCGTTGGACACCAGTTGACGGGTCACGCCACTGGGGCCACTTGGCACCTCTAAGTTAGATGAGGAGAGAGCTGGACCCTGCCTTGCTTGTTATGTCAACATTCCTGACATATCCATGGTGCAAAAGGAGAACATCCCCAGGAAACCCTGATTTGACCTTTCAAACATGACCAATATTGGTGAATCGCCGTGCATTTCAAATGTTCCGGCCTTTTCCCGATCATTTTCCCCAACTCTCAGCCGTGCCCCATGGCCAAAGAAGGCACGCCTTCTCCCAGGCGTCGAGCGCTGCGACCAGCACTCGGGCAAACTTCAGTTCCTGGATCAGTTGGTGGATCTAAATTTTGCAAAACGGGAATCGATGGTATTTCTGATGACCTTTATGGGGAGTTGGTGATCTTCCCATCGTTTTTTCTGGAGGGTAAATGGTACTGGGGTGTTTCTCAGGACTTTAATGACATCGTAAGAATCCCTAGCCTGTAGCTCCTAGGCTCACACAATGCTAGTAGAAAGCTACTACAACTGAGAAACTACTGGGACCATTTCGAAACTCATAGTTTACATTGACTATGCTGTGGTGAAAATAGTGATTTTACATGATTTTACTTATCTCATCTAAGCAAAACCAGAATCCCCATCTGATTTGTCGGGATTCAGCAACAACACCAGCATTCCCAGAGTCAAACAGGTATAAACGACAAGAACAAGCAGAAAAGTTACAGTAATTTCAATCTTCCAGTCTGCAAGGGGAAATGATGCAAAACACATCGAAATCTGCAGAATCCGCAAGGGAATATCTGCCCATCCTATGGCCATCAAGATCTTCATCCCCGCCTTTGCTGGCCATTCCAACTGAGAACTGACGGCATCGCCTCAGAACTGCACTGTGAATGCACGAGATCAAAGCCTACACAGAAATTCTACCGTTTAAGCACCAACAAACGATATTGTATGTAACCACCCGAAGTTGAAAAACACATAGGAAATGTATTCTTGCCAAATCTGTTGTCCAAATTTGTCCTGTATTGGTTGAAGCCCTATTTTTTACTAGGTGTTTGGCCGTTTGGCCTGGTTAAAAAAACAACCAACCAAAACGGGCGTGGTTTCGCTGCCAAGATGCGCTGTAGGATCTCAGGGTCCACCTAAAACGCAGGCGATGCATGGGAGAGCTATTCGTTCATTGCGATTCAACTGAACTGGGCGCAACTGGCTATAAGATTTGACCAACAAGAATGCGGGTTTAGAACCAACCTTTTTATGGGGATATTGTAGGATATTGATGGATATTGTGGGGTTCCAATGAGATACCACAAACAGTGACCATCCCCAATGACTTTTGGCTTTGTATCTTGGGCTGAACTAACAACCACTAGCAGTTTTTCACGGTGAACCGTAAAGATCGACATATTTTTGGGTCACCTTTGGGGGGTGAACTGGGTGAACTGCCAACCATTACATGATCGACGATGCATTACTTGGGGATGCTTGAAAAATGAATAATGCCTGACTAAAATATGGTTTATCATTCATGTTCCCAAGTAAGATCTATATTAAAATTCTATTTTCAGACACACTTCATATATCTCCATATGGAAATACTCTGAAACATTGGATGGCCCGCCCCTCAAAACTCGGACCACAACTCATCTGACCCGCTCTTCGCTGGCCTTGGTCGAGTCCTCCACTTGCTGCGCCGCCTCTGTGAAGCTGCGAAAATCCACCGCAGACTGGCTAGCCTTCCTGGGGCTGGGGATGGGTCAAAGTCGACCTCCAGAAAAAAAACATAACATGGAACCTAAAAAAAAGATCAAAAATGGCTCAAGAATTGGCCAGGAGTGGATATGGCAAATGATTTACACTACTTCAAATGTTTGCATGTTGATCCAGGTTAAGGTTCCGCATTTGCTATATGGTTAAAATCATGTTAAAACAACACACTCTGTGGCATCTTTTGGTTCAGGATGGCTGAATCCATCTGAATCCAAATCTTTTCGCCGCTATCACATGGTTCGAAGGCGTGGAGCCCAATTTGGGACCCCATAAATCAAAAGATGATTTTTGGATCCCATAATCTTCAGCCCCGTGGGTCCCATAATATCTTCGTTTGCGCCGCACCCAGGCCCAGCGGGTCCCTTCCAACACTGACGCCAGGGCTCGATCGCAGCTCGAGCGCTGCGGAACGAACCTTCTCAACCTGTGGGAATGAACCCAGCCCCAAGGCAATTGGTTGCCTATAATTTTGCTAACGATGATATTTGGGCTTAAATCAACATATCACTATCAGACTTCTGATCCGCGAATGCATTTGATTTGCAGATGACAAACCAGTGAGAAATGAACAGGTTGCTACAAAAAGGGCAAGGAAGGAATGTATACAAGACAAATTCTTTGCTAAAACATGCTAAAACTATAGGTCACGGCAACATTGAATCTGCACATGATTTTGGGTGAGCATTTATCACTAGCCTTCACCTGCAAATTCTCGTCTGGTCATCGTGCAAAACCGCGACAACCCCCTGATACTTTGGTATTGCATGCACCCAACTGGGTATGGGTGAGAATTGCAGCAAATTGGGTACCCAAGAAAGTGTATAAACATTGGCCAATCACTACTGAAAATAGCCAAATCTGCCGTGTCCATAGGGACCAACTCTCAGATTTAGTTTCAAATCCTTAGGTTGAAACAAAATGTATAAACTGTATATCTCCATGTTCGAATAAGGAAATGGTTTCAACCCATCTGCCATTGACATCAGAATTCCAGGGATTGGTTATCATGATTAAAAGTGGAAGTTGATCTAAACCAACCAAAGTGTTGTGGTTCACAGTAAGGAACAAAACTGGTTGGTTGGTTCAAAGAGATATCCACTTGATGCCATCCCCACCTCAGTTTCATGCTGCCGCAATTTGGTCAGGACCTCTCGCTCCTGCCGGGTGATCCCCCATGATGGGTATATCGGGCAAGAATCGACCTTTTGCGAATGGACACTTTTTGCTGCGGCTAAAACGCTCACAAACAAATACCATTTCTTGTGAACTGTTGTATGTGTTTCAGCATCCAGCATCTTCTACAACCCTCCCGCTCCTCATCAGAGAGAGGATCAGACAGTACCGTCTTGTCCTGTCGCTTTCGAGGCTGCGGGGGTAGCTGGGAGGGTGCAAGGGGTTGCCACTCCCAAGAGCTACCCAGTGCGGGATCTCAAAAAGCACAGGACTACCCAGTGAAAGGGGACAGACGGTGACAGAACATTTTGATGGGTCAAGATTTCGATAAACCCCCGACATATCCCCAACTGGGATGGTCAATAATCAATGACCATCCGCAATCCCTTTGCGGGTGCCAAGGTCTCCAGACCCATCATTCCGGGCATGAATCAACAAAAATGAAAAACTCAGTGCTCTCAGGTCTCACTGCCCGCGGTCCAGGACGCTCTCATCCTTTTCACCATCTTCCTCAGCCTCTGCATGTACGTTGGCTTCTGCCTCAGGATCCTCGCAGCCCGGAAATAACCGCTGGGATGCTCGAAGGAATTCCGTTGATTACTGTACTTCATCACAGCAGCATGGATTCTATGGATTTCCGTGCGCTTCCTCTGGACTCTTTGTTTGCGACTGCTGAACCAGCTGATGAAGCAGCAAAGCTTAGTTCAACAGGGCCCTCTTATGATGAAGACACCACATTTTTCATCAAGGGAAGCGACTCCCTGATAGAAAGAATGCATCATACCTTGGATATCCAGTCACAACCAGGATCATCAGAAGCGGCAGCTCGTTGCAAGATCGAAGGATGTACGAGATGGAAGAGACCATCAGCATCGATGGTTTAAGAACCCCTGCTTTTGCTTCATGAAAGAAGGTCAAATAAAAGGGAATTATCACACGACTGTGAACTGATATGATATGAAACCGCCTAAAATGGTATCTTTGCAATCTTCCCCCTTCCCAATCCCATGGTCCGTTCCTGGCCATATGACCTGTTCTTGTTGCTTCAATTCTCCATGTTTTATCCCAGGGCAAGGTGATTGGATCCCCAAAGGATTTCATGCCATGTTTGCTGGTAAATCAACATGTTCAATTGCCAACCGAAACCCCAAGTTTTGTTAGTAAAACTTGCAAATTCGGTGGTGAAATCTTCACGTTTCTAGGTTGAACCTTCATGTGCTGCGTGAGAACCCCAGCTCTCTCCTTGGTTTCCGTGGCTTCCGCAGCTTCTGCTTCACCTTCGTCCTGGTGTTCTGCCTTTACAGAACAACGATGGAACTTCAACCAAAAACACCTGGTGATGTGCGAAAACCATGACAGTTCCACCAACAAAAATGAGAGCTATATAATCGATCGTTATCTTCAGCAAACAACTCTAAACATTATCCTTCTGCGACGAGGACATGAGATCAAACAACGACCCATTTCAAGATTTACCACATGTGAGCGTGACACATCTGAGTGCTTTGCAAAGCCCACAACTTCAAGAGCCCGTCCCACAATTGCGTGTATGACCTGCCTCTTTCATTGACAACCACTCGTCGTCGACTCTGGAACTGTCGACTCGTACCATTGCAGGGTTTTTTGGGAAGGAATTTGCACGCAAGCAGCCAGCAACTACTTTTAACACTGTCAAAGATTCCTCTCCGACTTCCTTGGCACAGTTTCCATGCAGTGCTATGCAACTTGGAAGTCAAGAAACACCAACCTGAATTTGCCAAAGATCCAAAATACCCAAACCTCTAGTGCCATGGATTGTTTGCTCCACTCTTTCCATCGGAGCTTGAGCTGTCGCATCATGTTGCAATGGTGGTCCTTGAGCCACAAGTCTGAGACCATCAAATAGGGTTTGTTTCGATACAAATACTTAAATAGTACAATAAGTGGCTGCTTGATACATGTCCTAGCCATTCAAAGCTTCATCTATGAAGCAATCTTCACCCACTGGAACCAAGGGCCTTTAGTTGGGCTCGATGCAAGGAGGATTCCGACGATTCCAAGGCCACGAAGGTGACGTATATCTCAAAAGATTAGAAAACATAGAGCAACTTTGCCAGCTGTAGGTATTTTAAAAGCTATTACAATAAGTTCTATCATATTCTATCTATCATTACGATATCTATCCATATCTATCCATATCTATCCATATCTATCCCCCAATGTTCGCTGTTTGTTGTTTCTCATCCGACAATCTCCCCGGATCGCTCAGCTCGCTCCATTGACCGAGACAGCGCCATGGTCTTTCAGGTGCCTTTCACCTAATCTTTCTGCAGTTTCTATGGGAGACAACATGACCATTTTTCCAATGAGTGTCTTTTGAAACAATCAATGATGAACAACTTAAGTGAAGCTATGCTTCATTTTGATCAGCCAGATTCTTTTGCAATTGTGCTGCCT